ATGACGCTGAACTGCAAAGGACTTTTTCTTTTGTTTTTCGTGCTACTAACCATGGAATTAAAAGACATCTGCTTATAACTGTCACGGCCAGGTATCGGTTAATGCTTAAAAAGTTATGAATAACATTCTAATTCGAATCTTTTCCTCTACCATTCTTAACATAAAAGGTCAGAGCAGGAATTTCGTTTCTAACATTTGTAGTAAACACTCAAATGAACCAAAATGTAAGGAAGCTGCATTCGGAAAGAAATTTCAGATCACACCAAAACATATACTTGTAATGCCCTGATCCATGATTTCATGCATCTTGCAGCAAGCGCTTATCATTCTCATGGCCAATTTATCCACGACCAACACATTCCAACACTGGCCTTTCTCGGTAGACTTCAGGGGACTAATCACGTCGTTAATGATTCCTAAAACAGCAGTTATGACTGACGAATTTTGTCAAAGCAACAAAAATTTCAATTCATACACAGCAATCACTAAGACAAAAAACAAGTGATGAATCATAACAAATCGCGATATACGATCCCAACGCCTGGCTATCAGAGAAAACAGAGTACATTCATAAGTAATTGAACAGAAACAGTTCACAAACAATCAAAAATGCCTTAATAAAAACAGGGTTAACTTAATCAATCAATCCAATATATGGAAACAAAGAAGTCGGTCAAAGTACCAGGGCTTCATCGCTAATGACGATTTTGAGGTTCTAAAGTCACCACTGAAGCAAAGTTGTAAAAAGATGTCAGGGCCACAGCGGCGCCATCGCAAGGCTGAGAGACAACTGTGAATATGCTAAGAGGAAGGTCTAGCAAACAGCTGTACAAGCTACTTTGCCACAGAAACGAAAAAACCCAACGTATAAAACATATTGGTAGCTACGGGAGCGAGCAACATGTAAAATAAAGAATATCGCTAATTTACTAAGTTTTATTATGGTACTCAATTTTGCGAATAAGTTGTAGAAACCAGCAAAGATGTGACAAATTGTGACAAGATTGTGAAACAAATTCGCAGCGGATTAAGAAATAAGTTTAAATAACTGAGTGAGAAACTCCGGCATTACAAACGAAACGGAAACAACTTAAAAATGCACTGAAACCAGTGAAAACTCAATTAATATGATAATTCAGATCCTATGAGGTACATATCTGCTCTGGCAAATTCAATCCTTTTTATAGGTGCCCATTATGAATTGGAAAAACTTACTTTACCGACTCAAGCCAACACAACGTGGCTCTGGCCTGCCTGACGGCGGCAATAACGTTCTTCAGAAGGTTCAACCATACCATAAACGTGTCAAGCTGCCAACCCAAACAAGGGCAGCTGTTCCTCCTCTAAGATAATAACGCAGCTAAGTTGAAAAGGTATAACATGCCACTAGTAGTTCAGCCAGCAAGTGACTAAATGATATCTAAAATAACTGAAGAAATGAAACTCACTAGGCTGCGCGTCTCAAGACATACAATAAGCGGCAGTGCGGAGTTCGACTGACGAGAGGCTCAAGCTCAAATGCAAAGCCGTTAAAAAGAATGTCAACAAGAACTTCCCTCGCAGTGCAAATCCATACTTGTAAAGATTCACACTTAGGAATAAACAGTGATCGAAATGTCAAAGAAGTTCAAGAAAATCTGTGACGTTCTCGCTCTATACGAAACACGATCAAGCAAGTAAAAGGAAAAGAAAGTTTGTCGCTGTTTAAATGTCAATATTCCTTACACTTTCATGACTGGAGTAATTCACCCTTCTTTTCATGAAGCTGAAGCGAAGCAGATCTCAATTTCTATGGTGTCAGCCTCATTTTAAAGGCAGAGTCTACAGCAAGTGTGGCAAACGATGTGTAGAGTCTCGGTTCCTTTTCACAGTGACACTCATTTATCAACCTCGGAAGGGAGAAAGGCGAGTGAGCCCGAGCGGGGCTCGAATTCATGAATTACCTGCAACGAGTTCGACGCTCTACCGATTGAACAACCGCGGTCTCAAGCTGAAGCAACGTGTTGCTAGAGGGAATTCGTGAATAAGACAAAGATTGCACTAGAGCGGAATCGAACCCGATATCTCCAGAGTTCGAAGCAGACAACTGCAATGTGCACAACGCCACAGAGTCAGGTGAGAAATAGACAGACGGAATCACCATAATGTTAGAAAAAGAAGGCGCGAAAACCGTTGTAGAAGTCGGCTTTTTCGTCAACTAGGCATTATTTTTAAACGCCATCCTTAATTAGTTCATGTCATCACGTCTGGAGTGCTTAATCTCCAACGGATTAAGAATCGCATCCTTGAACTCGACGCTTCCCTTCCCCCAAATTTAAGCGAAGGAGACTAGTGGATGAAAGGGGTTTAAAGAAACACTGTCCAAAAATACCTACATCCCAAAAATTTACTTTTCATTAAGGAAAATTTCAAAACGAAAGTCAGCGGAAGGAAAAGAAGCAAAAGGTTCATTTGCTATCACTACATTAGAGAACAAAACGCACGAGAACCATTTGCAGTTCTGGGAGAGACGAAAATGTTGGCAACTGTAAAAAATTGGCAACATCTTGATGAAGAAGACCAACAAAAGATGAACATGGATCGGACAAAACGCGGAAACCAAGAAGAAACTGAATACATACTGTGTGACAAGCGCCGCGTTATGCGAAACATTTCAGGAGTGGCATCCTTCAAAACGAGCAATGGAAAACATCTACTCAGAACAACTCGCGTGCAATGAAAAACCAGAGAAAAATGGCTAGTCACATACAATGACAAAATGAATTCGAGTAGGAAATGTTAAAAATGCTCGTTTCCAATGAAGATCGCGTCCTCGAGGGAAGCTCGATGAATACAACGAGAAGTTACAGGCGATGTGTGAAAACAGCTGAGGTGAGAAGATCAAGGCAGCCGAAAGAATGTCGGAGATAACCAAAAGTTTGTTTAGAAAACAGGAAGAACTTAATCAAAGATGGCAATGTCATGGCAGAGTACTGCTTTTTTCGCAAACTTATAAGACAGAAATTAAGGTTTAAATAAATTTCGAGAAGCGCAAAAAGACGTTGAAGTTCACCAAAGCCTCGTAAAATGCAGGAGAAATGACGCTTGACCGGCCAAAGCGTGAAAGATAAAATATCGTAGAATAAATAGGAACATAAACAGAGGAATATAAAAATGACATTTTAATTGTCTCAACTTAGCGACAAATAAAAATTACAGAACGTGGAAATATGTGAAGGTTAAAAATGGGCTTATTTTAAAATGAAGATCTACGATCTCGACATTTAACAGCCCTACTGTAAGACAGACTTCCACGCAGAGATAATTCCGCAAGTTTCATATCTGCTATCAATGCTTGCTGGTGAGAATAGTCGCAGTACTTTATAAAAAAAAACTGAACTTAACAGCCCTCAGTTCCTGATGAAACCTGGATTAAATGCGACAGAATGACAATCGGGATCAACACAATGCACAAACATACCGAATTTAAAGAGTACAATTCGAAGGGCTAGCTAACATTCAAAATACTCGACTTGTTTAGAACATGCTGGCTATGGAATCTCAGAACTTGGCGTGCAAGAAATGGTTCCTTGAACAGGTGAATGTTCCAGTGACGATTCGACAGAGCTTGACAAAACGGAACAGCGCCTTAAAAATCAATCTGACACGCGATCCAAAGTGAACGAAAGTTATATTCGAAATCTAGCGGCAGATTATAGGTGAAGTTCGACTGGCTTGCCAGATCTTTCCAGCTGATCCGCTGGCGCAAATTACTATTTACGCTGATACCTGACAAAACTGAGCTAATCAGTGTGCGTACAAGAAATTGGTTAGATGTTTTGCATGCCGAGCCCTCCAAACATCTGAAAATGGTTATCAATCCCAATCGCAGTCTATTATGCTGATAATCGTCTGGACAAATCTGGCTTCAACAAAAACCAATCCGTAGGTTTGCCTATGGTACATACAGCATTATTACTGGTAGAAATCTCGTTAAGTGGCAGGTTCGAAAAATGCTATTTTCAGGTTATTTGGATAGTCACCGCTCTTTTGCCTGGTTTTTCGTGCTGGCGAATTTTTACTCTTTGAGTCCGCCACGTTTGTCACTGCTTGGATTAACATCAAGAGTTGCAGTCAGGGCAATTCATTTAACAGATGACCTCCATCATGTCATATTCTTCTCGTGCAATCCTGTCTTGTGCCTGTTTTTTAGATGTCAGTTTTCCTTTGCATCTGAAAGCAACACAGATTTTCGCCGAAGTCAAATCTCTTCTGAGGGAGTTGGAAAGGAAAAACCCAACGTATCAAATGTAAATGCTTACGACTGATTCTTGTTGCAGTCCTTCGCTGGTCCGGAGTTTATAACCTCTCACTCTCCTTTCAACAGCTTGAAAATGTTTCCTCCCTACTCAATTTAAGATACCTCATTATCTGTTCAAAGGACAAACGTCAGCATGCAAGACGATTCTTTCTTCAACTATATATCTGAGAAGTTGCTATAAATCAGATCTACTTCTGACAGGTCGAAACGCTAGAATCGAACACGCCATCATCGTGAAATCTCGAAGGCACACGCCTAACGATTTTAGTACCAAAAATTTACAAAAGTTCGTTAAATCACATTTACGCAAACGTCTAGTCTTACGCTCCATCGCAACATTTATAAATCAATACATGGCGGCTAACTGGTGGCGAAATCCGATCGAATGTAATCAGCAGAGTAGGCCGTCAATAAATGTACGTCGTCCGCAAAAATGAGACTTAGTGACCAATAGACCAGTTTTCAAAAAAGCACTTCAGCAACACACAAATGAAGCTCTTTAGATAGCAAGCAATTCAAGCTCAACTGCAGGCAATCATGTTTTTATGTCGGGCATCAGTGAACAAAACTTGCTCTGCCATACACCAGCTCCAGAAATGCAACACATTCTACCATGAACACATACAACAACTCGTTACACAACCGTTTCCTGCTTTTAGAACAATATTAAACAAACATAACAATGTACTTACTCTGACCAACAATCTGCTTTAGCGCCATTCCAGCGGTTCGTTGCGTACAACAGGACTACTTGAAAGCAAGTCTAGAACAGCACAACTTGAAACAACCGTAAAAACGGGAATGCCACTAATAAGAAATGTCAGGCAATGATTCGAATAAAGACTTTAAATTTATATAACTACAGTTAACATTAAATCGCCGTTTTTGAAACTCCTTTTGCGCTACAAATCAACTTTCAAAACGCTTCTGAAAGTAACTGACTTTAAGTAACTGTGCAAAAGGCCATCACAAGTTTACAGCACCATCATTCAAAGGCAGTACAAAAGTAAAAATTATGCAATGGTTTCTAATGTTCAAACCTGCTCTTCTGACGCAGTAGTATGCCGACAACGCGCAAGTAAAACCGCTACTTAATCCTGGCAGTTTCTGTCGAAAATCATTGCGAAAATCCAAATAAAATCAATTTCGCCCTACAATTCAACCTGTGATAGTCAAGTACAATTCTTGTTGATTGTTGTTATGCATAATTCACCAAAACCCTTTGGTAAACCGTCTGAGCTAAACTTTTAGCCGATCAAATTCTAGGAAACGCCAAACGCCAACGACGTTATGTGGCTCTCCGCTGTCCAACGCAGTTACGGCTCCAATGCGCTTCTGAGGCCGTCATCTGATAGCACAGCAGCGGCTGTCCTCCAAGTGCGCTTATCGTGGTAAAATGGACTTGCTGGACGATGTGGATGGGAGCAGGCCGTTACGCCACAATGGAGTGAATTACCCTAGATGGAGTGACTTCACGTCATACTACGTTGCCGTTTTATCATAAGTACATATTAATATTTCGTTTATTCGCAGTATTTTGTTGTCGATTGGCCATTGTTGTTTTTATCATCGTCAATATATGGGCTGAAGTGCCTGTCTTCACTTTCCTACGAAGTGACGGCATTGCGGCGCGCCAATGGTCTTCAGTAACGTGCCCTGGATGATGGTGAGTGGACAAAGTCGATGGAGTTCCGGATAAAGTTGATAAATGGAGTCCTTCTCACACGATGGAGTGGATTACGATAGCATAGTAAGTTTGCATCATGATATGCTGATGTTCTGTGAATTCAACTACTAGGCAGTTGTTGTTGTTAAGTCCGTGGACATTGCATTTTTGTAATAATCCTTGCTTCGGTTTTGATATGCATGTAGTACAAAGTTCGCTTAAAAAGTCGGTGTTTGCATTACATTTCTTGCATTCATACTTAATTCCAGTCGCCGTTCAATGCATCGATCGATACAAATCCATGTGCGCATATGCGCATTTGTTGTTGTGCCCTTTTTTGACAGAGCGCCAAAACCTTTGGCCTTCATGTTTTTCATTTTGCTGAAATAATGCTCACCATGTTTAGCAACTTGACCCAAAGTTGTACCACTATCGAGCAACTGAACTGAAAAGTCAATTTTCGTCCGAAACGTCAGTCAGCGCTTGCATTTACCAACGACCATGCAACGCATTTAATATTTTTGCTGATATACATACAGCTAAGGCGAAGAATGTGGTGACTCGCAGCATATAACTGTCACTAATTGCCACGCTGTTTTTCAGTTTCAGCTAGATCGCTTGGAATTATAAATTTATATTACTGACTATCTGAACTGACTGAATTCATGAATCATTTAGTCTGTTTCTGCACTCCGAATAATTTTGTTGGCAGTATAAGGTTGCAAAACAATGCTGATGAGTTTCTAATTGGGAACAAGACGACAGCCTTCACATGGTGTCTCTGCTACGTATTGCAGACTTACGCAAAAACTTCGCATTACAACGAATTATCGTCACCTGGCTGCCAAACTTTGCGAAAGCAATCTTTCCGCTCGATTAGCAACAAATCTAACGGTTCTTCTAAGAACCAAACAAGTAAACCAGTATGAAATAAACCTAA